AAACGGATTTACATAGCTGCTTAGTTGGGAAGAATTATAAAATCAGTTAATGCCCTGAGGATAGCATAAGCAAAGGTGCTTTTATCTTTGAACCCCTGAATTTGTCCCTGAGAATTTTCTGAATGATAAGCAGGTAGGAAAATTTCCAGCTTCTCCAGTAAACTTTGCATTTGCTGAAAACCTGTGGATAAGTCCTGAGTGAAGATTAGAACCATGTGGGTTGCGAGGAGGTAGGGAGAAGCAGTGCCTTTATTAAAACCCACTTACTTTGTTCCAGGAAGTAGGTAGTAAGTCAGTATTTGCCAAGGACACACCATAGATGAAGACAGGATGTTGGTCCATAATATGTGCATAGCATTTGGGTATTTGTGGGTAAAGTAAAAAAAAAGTATATATGTAGCCCTGGCCTGGGTTGCTAACTGGTTAGACCATTAGCCCAAGCACCGAAGGGTCTTGGATTTGATTCCTGGTCAGGGCAGGTACCTGGGTTTTGGGTTTATTCCCTGTCCCTGGTCAGTTCATGCAAGAGGCAACCAATCGATGGATGTGTCTCTCTCATATAGATATTTCTCTGTCTCCTTTTGCTCTCCTCTTCCCTCTCCCCTTCCACTCTCTAAATATCAATGGGGAAAAAAATATCCTTGGGTGATGATTAAAAAAAAAGTACATATGTAGATTATTCTGGAGGAAGTTAAACATTTTTCTAGTCTATAGAGTCCCTAAGAAATCTACTCTTAAGACTCCTCTAGCAGAAAAAAGGACCTGCATCCAGCTAGCTGTCTAACATAAGGCATCCTCCAGCCTGTTGGGGTCTGGGAGGCAGCCAGGGCCTCCCCAGTACAGCAGCTGAGAAAAAACCCTCTGAGGGTTTTTACTTGGGCCAAGTAATACATAAGCCCTCTGAGGCCTTTATGGAATTGAAAGATGGCCATTAAGATACATGTGGGTTTAGTGTACATATATTGATAACTTTTTCTCCGATGTATAGGCAAAAGAATTTATATGTCTATCTGACTTGCTTGTCTAAAATGTCCCAATAGGATCTTAGATTGCTGAGAAATTCTATGTAAAAATTGTAGTGCGGACAAATCAATCAACCAGCAATAGTAGTGTGTGACGTTATCTATAATGTCCCCTCGGGAGACATAAAGAAGTATAAAATGTGGTTTCTGCCCTTGGAGGAGTTTACAATTAAAATGAGGCTGTATTGAAGCTCCCTCTCTCTAAGCAGATTCCCAACCTTCCTTGGTCCCATAACGACAGGCCTTGTGCTGAATGTTGGTCAACTCAACTTGAGAAAGTCATGAGGAGGAAACATATCCTGTCACCACGCACCCAGAGGTTCAGCTTAGTGTCCCTTTTTTGCCATCTAGGAGGAGAGGAGGGAACATTTGTACTGTCATTCCTAATTAATTTTTTTTCCTATAAGACATTTGCCCCCAATTGTAAAGAAATTGCATGGACTGTCACTGTATAGTCACCAGTTTTATTTATTTTTTACTTTTTAAAAAATATATTTTTATTGATTTCAGAGAGGAAGGGAGAAGGAGAGAGATAGAAACATCAATGATGAGAGAGAATCATAGATTGACTGCCTCCTGCATGCCCCACACTGGGGATGGAGCTCTAAACCCAGGCATGTGCCCTGACCGGGAATCGAACTGTTACCTCCTGGTTCAGAGGTGGACGCTCAACAGCTGAGCCAGGCCTGCCAAGCACCAGTTTTATTTTTTATCCCAGCAACCAAATGTGGAGAATTTATGTTTGTTGGTTCTGTATCTGCAATGGAGCTACAGCCTTAGAATAATATCACAATAGAGAAATAACTTCTAAATGGGTTAGCCCCATATAATTCTGATTGCCTTTAATTAGGGGCAAATCACAAGCTAAAAGGAGTTACATATTTGAAACCAGTTAAAAATCAAAATAATAAATGGAGAAAAAAATGTAACCTCAGAAATCTTAATTTTTAGCTATAGAATTGCAGTTTCTTTATTCATTAAATAACGTTGTCTGCCCCATCCTGTTTCTCTGTTTGGAACTGTAACATGGACATTAGGAGAATTGCCAAATATCTATGAAATGAGAGCTTTCCTCCCACCCTTCCCATCCCCCATAATAGCCCAAAACAAATTAGACTGAGAAAGTCACACAGTTCAGCCCAAGAATTAGGTTTGTGCAGCCCTACCACAAAAACTCTGTGATTGAGAGAAGTCTCCAAGGCAGGTAAGGGGAGAATTAGGTCAGCTGGAGTATAGACCGTTCAGTAATGTTTCCTAGAAATAGGGAGATAACATTACAAACTGCTGGCATTCATTTACAAACCCTGCTATAAAAATAGCAAAACTTCAGGAGCATTAACAGAGCCAAAAGTAGAACTTGCTGTTTATTGTTCCAGAGGTCGGCTTTCATGAAGTTTGAGAAAGGACCAGATTTGAGTCCATTGCTCTCATGATTTTTAAGTCAACCTCCTACTACATCCATACACACATAAAAATAGACTATTATTATTGCTGTTTGTGGCATGAAGAAAGAACTTTTTTCTTTGTGGGAGTATGCCAGATAATTTAGGGGGGATTGAAATATGAATAATGTGTGCTGAGGGGAGCGGCTGTGGGAAACGAGGCTGGACTACCTGTGCCTGTGTGCCCAGAAGACTTATTTTCATCAGTTATCTCCTTCAAGTTGGTCGGAATTTTAAGCATCTGCTCATTCCTATCCCACTCGACAGGAATGGGACCTAGTAGGAGCAGGGCTGTCCCAGTGCATGTGAGCCGCCAGAGCAAGGGGGACCGTGTGTAACAGGAAAATTATCAGCATTTCTATGGTCATGAAGCAACATGTGCCCGGCTAATTACTGTTCTCTGTGACTGCTCTCGCCTCTCGAAACGCTCCATGGCCCAACCGCGGAAATCCTGTTTGTCTGCCTCCCACCCTCACCCCCAAAGAATGAAAAACAGTAACTTGCAAGACTGGGCTTGTTTAATGAATGCAATTTGTTTTTGTTGAGCCAAAGACTCGAGGTTTCTGAGGCTGTAAACTTGATGCTAGATTTGTGAAGGACTCCATGGTCCTCATCTTCAGATAAGTTCAGTGTGGAGGGTGTGTCTACACTTGCTGGCTGATAACCGGTCCAAAGGCATTTTTCTTTATTTTTATAGGTTCCTAGAATAAAGTGACCTTTAATGGTAGGCGAGGCCATCTTCCTGGCTTCAGGCAGAGCTATATCTAGCATGGTGACATCTGAGCATTTTTATGTTAATAAGAATGTCCTCAAGATGCTGCCTCCTCCCTTGGCGATCCTGTTCTTGCCCTTAGTAACTGCTGATGTTGGGAACAGTGGCTCTTTCTGTTGCTGTTTTTTTCTGATAGAAATAGCGAGTTATCTTGCACTCTAGGGTAACTATAGAGTTTGGTAATATCTTTTCATTTATTCATTATTAGAGCATTCAAAACCAAACAGTTTTGCTTTCTTTATAGTAAGCTGAACTTGTCCTCACTCCACACCAAAAAAAACCCCTTAGTTTTGTCAAGAAAGATTGAACATCACTTTTTCAAAGTGTGTAACAGGAGGTAATTTTAATAGATGTATTAGCTTAGCTGTGGTTTCTTTGAGTGACTACTTGAATATATTAGTTAATAATAAATTATTACTTAGTATTACAGGAAAAAAAACACACCTGAAAATAGCTTGATTCTCTGGAGAAAGAAACTTCCTGTGCATGGTTAGTAATACTTTCCATATAGATGCAATTGCTGGATAATGTTATCCAAACTAATTAATGATGACATATTAGTTAACATATTGCCATCAGCAGGTGGCTTTCTGAGCAGAGGTGAAAATGGCATGTGCTCAAACAAATTGTTGTACCCTTGAGAAATGTATACAATTGTTTTTTTAAAAGAATCTTTGTAATGATGCCTGGAATATGAGTTATTTTTGTAAAGCACAAAACTGGGGGCAGGTAGGAGAGATGCAGACTAGAAAAACAAAACAAAAGAAAGCAAAATTGGTTCCACCTTTCCCAAAGCTTTTCCAATTAAAAACAAAAACAAAAACCCAACAAGCGCACAGTTGAATCTACCAGCACAATTTGCCTGTCCTGTCAGAATCTTGGGAAAGACTCAGGTGTCCTCTCTTCCTTTGTGCTCTCCTTCCTTCCTCTCCTTTGTCCATGTCAGAGCTGTCAGGGGAGTGTTGGCACGGGGCATGTCTGTGACAGATGGGCAGGGAGCTGTAATCTGTTGCTGTCTTTCGATTGCAGAGGAATCATTGTGACAGTGAAGGGGTTAAAATGGTCAACACCTATCAGAGTTTGCCGATAATTAGTGTAATCTCAATCCCAGAACACTGACACAGATGACCACACAACGATGGATTCTACTAAATCCTGCTTCGGAAGAAATCCTTATCAATCTCTTCCCAGCACTTGTGGAACCATGCATTTTTTAAATGCATATGTGAAAAAGTTACTGTTTCTGCATAATGTGTGTGATTATGATAAAAGATGATTGTGAATCAGTTTCATTTTGGAAGGTGCATTTTGAATTAGCACTTGCAGATACAGGTTAATTGATATGCACCCTCTGAGCCTGAGGCGTGTAGCCTTTAGAAGGTTTCACAGTGTGTTGACTGTTACTCTATTAGTAAGGATGCTGAGGTATAGTATTGAGTGGTGGTTTAGGAAGGCAAATTATAAGTTTATGTAATTTTGTGTTACTATGTCTGACAAGCAACATAAAAGGAAAAAGAAACAGACCTCTTGAAAACAAAACTTGAAAAAAATAGGCTTGAGAAAAAGAAAAAATATTTTTGTTGATTAGCTTCAAAGAGAAAATGCATAGATAAAAAGCAGACTTTAAAGCTGTTTTTCAAAAGTCCAAGTGGTAACCAGAAAGGGATAAATATGACTTAAAAATAGGAGCAGGAATCCATGCTGAACTAGGGGAAGAATGGGAAAAGGAGAACTTCAATAACCCCCCTATGTTCAAATCCACAGGTCCCATTGGCTGGCATCCTAGAGTACTTAATGAATTGGCCGAAGTCATCACAGAACCGCTAGATATCATTTTTGAGAACTCGTGGAGGACTGATGAGGTGCCTGAAGACTGGAAAAGGGCATATTTAGGACACCTTCTTTCAAAAAGGGAAATGGATGGTGACCCTGGAAATACTCATCAGCTTAAATTTTGCTTGGAAAAATTCTGGAATAATCAGTACACTGGGTAACTAACCTACACATAGCTAGAAATGAGGCAGTGAAAGATCACACATTAAGAAGTACTGAGTTCATTTTTAAAGGACACATCATTGCGAGATACAGTCTTATGCATATTTTGGGATTCTTCCCTCTATTCTATGAGCTCTTGATGAAAATAAATTAGTTTGGCTAAGGTTTTTGGAATTAATTTTAAGTGTAACACTAGACAAGAAGCAGGTTTCTGGCATTTGCTAGTAATTACATCATTTTGAAATTAACCTGTAACTTGAGAATAGTAGCTTTAATTTTGTATTTTAACATACTCTTTTTTTCTCTCTTTATATGGGACCATGTTTTCATAGGTTGGGATGTTTATATAATTCTATATAGGCTAGTTTGGTGAGGGAATTCTTATTTTAAGGTGCTTTCTATGTTCATTTCATATATATAGGTACATTTATAAAGCTGACTAATTAAGGTACATCACCAAAGGAAGCCGATTTTTTCTAACTTTTTTTAAAAAAATTAATCTGGCTGAAGTTCAGTGTTAGGGCCCATAGACTGTCCTGCTCTGACACACACTGAGCAAGAGCCAGCTCTGGGCCTTGGTGGCTGGTTTTCTTCATTCGGCGGACACTGCCACGACCGGGGCCTCGCCTCACCCCACCCCACCCTGCTCCTCAGGTGCCTGACCTCAGGTCTGTGGGGGCAGGGAGGTGGGAGTTCAGAACCCGGACTACCCGCAGCCAAGATGGAGAACAGAATGAGGTGGGAGGAGGAAATTAGGATGGCTCTGGAGTTTTTCTGATTCCTGTTGTTCTTGCCTTTGGATATTGGCAGTTTTATTTTCTGCTGAGAAAATGCAAACATGTTGATAGGACCAAAAATTTAGTTAACAGGAGGTCATCAAAAGAGATATAGAATCAAAAGAGATATAGACATGCAACAAGCTCTCGAGTCAGGCAGCTCCTGAGAGGAGCTGAGCAGAATCTTCCCTGTGCTACTGAGAAGTAAGAGATGCCGGTTTATAGCAGCGTTGTGATGCTCCAGAGTTGGAAACACTCAAAGGGAAAGAAACCTACATTCATTTCTTCCTGGTACGCACCTGGTCCCCAGGAATGGGTAGGCAGGGAAGGGTGATTTTATCACAATACTGCTTTAAAAAATCTAAGGTTTACATGGTTTAGCTACTTCTAGAGATTAATTTAGATACTAGATAAATTCAGTCTCATTCTTCACTCTAAATTCCAGGAAATTAAGCTCTAAATGTTTGTACAAGTTTTCTTTTAAACATACATAGCTTGCAGTTTTATAAGAATTATACTCCAAACTTCAATCATGGTTCTTCAAGTGAACTAGAGTCTTTAAAATTAACAAGCTATATATATATTTTTTAAATTGATTTTTAGAGAGAGAAGAAAGGAGAGGGGGAGAGAGAGAGGGAAAGAGAAATATCAATATGAGAGAGGAACATCAATCATTTGCTTCCCACACACACCCCGACCTGGGATCAAACCTGCAACTGGGTGTATGCCCTGATCAGGAATTGAACTGGCGACCTTTTGGTGCCTGGGACTACCCGCACCAGGCAGGGCAACAAGCTATACTTTTTAAAGGAGTGTGTCAGGGGATCTCTGTAGGTCACAGATATAATTTATTATGATAATAAATGGCTTCCTGTTGGAGACCTCATTTCCAGGTGCAGCACCTGTGGCGGATTTATTTCACAGACAGACATTTACATGCATTTGCTAAACTGCTGCTAGAAAGGGACCTGATTTCTGAAAAACCTATTGTTTTCACAGTGGGCATTATGGTACAATGTAATGCCACCAAAAACGGGACTTTCTGGTCATTTCAAGGTTTTTTTCTATTTGTGTGATGTCCAACGTCAGTTAATTTGCCAAATTTAAGTCTTCTCTGTGTGTTGGTTATTAGGGTTTGAAAATAACAGTCCTCTACCTAATTGAAGAGTCACAACCTAGAACAGTGAAATAGCTGATGGATTTTAAAGATTTGTTACCTAAAACTTTACCTAAGTTTTTACCTAGTTTTTTACTTAAGACTTTAAAAGAAGCAGAGAAATATTTCATTAATTCCTTTGCATTAAATCAAGATGAGGTAAGAGTTAGAATGTAAGAGAAAGGTAGTCACCTTGCCATGAACTGTATCTGGTGATAATTGCTCTTACAAGGAGTCATTTTCTTCCCAGTGTTTTTCTTTTAAATCTAACATTTGTGATGTCCTTAAATTTTTGTTATGCAAAAGAAGTAGCTGAGGGACAAGTGTTATCAAAACTAGAGGATTATCCTAGTTTGTTTTTCCTAGAACATCAAGAGAGATTAATTACTGACATTTACTTCATAATATTGAAGAATTTGGAGGATTATGGCAAAGTTTACTTCAAGTTCATTTTAAAACAAAGTTTGTGGGGTGGGGGGAGAAAGATTTTATTCAAAAAATTTTTTTCTTGGCCTAGGGAATGCATAATTACCAAAGGACTTTTCAGCAATGCAGAATAGATGCACTCAAGCAGTTTCTCAGTCCAGAGACATTCACAGCACCTTGGTGTTGTGAAAGCAACAAGAACAATAAGAATTGGGTTTTTACTTTGGAGTTCCTCAGGTCTTAGTTCAAAATCAAGATCACATTCATAGCTTTTTTTTTTTTTTTGTCTGTGGTGGATCTAAGAACATAAACTGTAGATAGCATGGGGAATGATCTTGAACAATTATTAAATTCATCACAGACTTTTATGCTTGTCCATAAAATGGGAAAAATAAATACCTCTTGTAGTGCTTAAGAGGCTTAAGAGTCCTGCAGCCTACACCCACACAGTCCTTGAATCAGTTTGTGGCACATAGTAGGTGCTGAGTGCCTCTCTCTCTTTCCTTCTTTGCTATCAGTTACCGTCTTTATTTCCTCTTCTATGAAAGAGATTACCTTAAAACTGACCAGAAAACTCAAACATAAATTGACCTGTTCTTCTTGCTGCCTTGAACCCACTGAATAAGGCCCCTTTGCTTTAGGAAGGATAAAAGAAAAAGGTACAGTGGCCCCTTGCAGTAGGAGTTGTGTAAATGTTTACTGATTGAATGAAAGAATGAACAAATTCATGAGGCCAGCACTTGTCAAGTCTGGGAGATAGTCATATAGACACATATGAAAGTATCTCGCTGATTTTCCTCTTTTTAAAACAGCTTTAGACTTATAAGTTTGGTGTGCAAATTAGTGAGTAGTATATGTGCATTTTCCTGTAATTTTGTGACTTGATTTACAAATTAGGGGTGCAAAGGGGCAGTCCCCAATGGCTGCTTCTGGGCTAAATTCCGTCAAGATATGAAGCAGATGACGGTAAACAGCAAACCCTTCTATGTGAAGAAAAATCAGATGTGCCAGGGTCTGGGAAGCACCTGCCAGAAACCGAGATGGTTCTCATAAGAGTCTCAGTGCTGGAAGCGCATCCCTTGCCTGGGTGCTAAGGAATAACAAAAAGATTCAAGAAAATTAAACTTTTGGACAGAATATTTGGTTTATGGAACTTTATACAAGTAATACTTAATTAGGTGTCAAAACACCATGTCAGTGGAAGAGTTCTGAATTTTGAAATAAATAAGGAATAAAGAGTTGAATATAATATCCAGAGATATACACAAGCAATGAGCTAGAGCCTGACCTTACATCGCCAGTTCTCCATTCAGGCCAAGGGCCAAGTAACAGGGAATTCTTAGAAGAGATTAGCTGACACCTTGTGCTTAGAATAGAGCCATAGAGTTGCTGTATTAAATTACACAGAATAGATTATGCAGAGCAGAGCAAATCAACTAGGCTTTCTTTCTCTTTTAGAATTTCTAATTTTACTCTATGCAGCCTCGATGATCATCAATTAGACATTCCTACATAGATATTTTACACTGTTCAGATTCTTTGATTAGAAAATTCTGTTCAGCTTTATATTAACTTCTATTAACTAATAAAATAACTTTCTACTCCATGATCACTGTAGTAGATATTTCCTTAAAAGGCAAAAAAAAGTAGTTTAGAAACTGAACAACGTAACATTTTTACTTATCAAAATAGATGTTTCTTTTAAGATTTTTAAATTCCTAAAAATAAAGTTTTATTTGTCGTTGTTAAAAACTTTTAGAGGAAAATGGGGGGTTAAATTTCACAGTATGAGCTGGGTGGTATGTTTTTGACAACTTGACCAACATTTCTTTCATTGGAACAAAAAGAAGGCACTTTTTAAGTGTTACTTAAGATGACAAATGTCTTTTCTAGATGTATTCTGTAACATGCCCTTTGTCAGACAAATTTTCCCTTATTATTCCAAAAATGAAATGCTGTGTTGCATGTGTTATGGGAAAGGTAGTATTTGATTGGGGCAAATGTTAGAAATTCTATTGTTCATTGCAGCTGTCACCCTGTTCCCCAAGCTTGACAGTATTCTCAGATCCTTTTTGGGTTTGTAAAGCCATTATTCATTGAACATTTCTGCTTATACAGAAATGTGTGCATGGCCCTGTATAATCAACACGTGTACATCCAGGTAGCCAAGCACAGAGTCATTCCTAGTGAAAACTGCAGGTTTGGTTTTGTAAATGCCATTACAATTGACACTCTCCCCCTTTCGGTTATTGTTTTGAGAAGGGATTGTATGAGAAGGCACTATGAAAAGCCTAATTGGAACAGCATTATGAACCATGGAATGTATGCCCGTGCAGCCCTGTGATTTGCAGACATATGTTCATTCTTCAATAAATGTTACGGCGTTCACAGCGGTTCCGCCTTGGCCTCTTTTGTGATCATTTATGTTGGATGAATGGAATACAGCCTGTGCGTTGTTTAAATTGATGATATATAAATGTTTACAGCACTGTAGCATTATGGTTAGCCTGGGAAATTAGAGTTCTAATTCAAAAGAAAGGAAAAAACAAGGCTTCCCACACTGCCTGCACAATTCAAATAAATCATTATGACGTGTACTTAGATGCTTTTATGTGATTGTTACATATGTATATGTTGTGGCTTTCTCCCTATTCCCTCCACCCCACTTCCGACTAAAACAGTACTTGAGGGTGATAGTATGAGATTCTGAACCAGTAATCGTGGCCCACCACAGTGGGAGGGCGGGCGGTGGGATTTACTAGTATTAGGTGGTAGGCAGGGTCATATGCGGAGTTTCTCCACATGCAGTCCTGCTGTGGTTCCCCCAGCCCCCGATTCTCCATCTCAGGGGTCATTAGATCCAGGGTCTACTAGAGTCAGTCCCAGCCTTACCACTTTCTGGCTTCAGGACCTTCAGCAAATGGAATAATTATTGTAAGTGCTTAGCAAAATAATTAGCACATGATAAGCAGCCCCAAAACATTACTTTAAAGAAGTTTTATAGTAGTGTTTTGGGTGATGTAAAAATGGCATTGTGATATGTTTCAGTGATTATGAATGGCTGATTTTATTCCCACTGAATATGAGAGGAAAGTAAATTTAAAGCAAGGAGATGTTGAGTAAATATTAGAAAGAAATATGCAAAAATTTGAATTTTAGACATGAAAAGGGACCTTAGAATAAGCAAATCTGATTCAGAAATTATGTAGGTAAGGCACCAAGGAGCCAAGAGTTTGTGACATGCTCACCATGACACGGGTTTGGTGGTAGACAATTGAGATTTTTGTCTGATATCAGATCCTAGAAGTATACCTAAAGGTATCTGTGGCATCTTCAAAAAACACATATCTTCTAGACTGGCCTTAATTTCACCTTAGATCCATGATTTTTCTCAATGGAGTGTTAGAACACTTTTGCTCATAAACTAAAGCCCCCAGCAACAGCAGGGCTCTTCAGGAGCTGAAAACCCAATCTTTCAGCTCTAAAATCTTAGGCTTCAAGTCTTCCTTGATCTGCAAAAAATGGGCCGAGGACATGAAGAGACACTTCTCCAAAGAAGTCATACAGATGGTCAATAGACAAATGAAAAGATGTTCCCCATCACTAATCATCAGAGAAATGCAAATCAGAACTACGATGAGATACCACCTCATACCAGTCAGAACGGCTGTTACAAAAAAGACAAGAACTAAGTGTTGATCAGGATGTGGAGAAAAGGGAACCCTTATGCCCCGCTGGTGGGACTGCTACTATGGAAAACAGTATGGAGATTCCTAAAAGAACTAAAAATAGAACTACCATACCACCCAGCAATTCCACTCCTGGGTATATATCCAAAGAGAATGAAAAACACTAATTTGAAAAGACTATGTGTTCCTATGTTCATTTCACCATTATTTATAATAGCCAAGATATGGAAGCAACTCGTGTCCATCAATAGATGGATGAAGAAGATGTGGTGCATATATACAATGGAATATTACTCAGCAACAACAACAAAAAAAATGAAATCTTGCTATTTGCAACAACATGGATGGATCT